ATATTTAAAATAAAATCATTTATCATATAATATTGCCTAATAAAAAAGAATTAAAAAAAAACAATCAATGTTTTTGTTATACTATTTTCTAATAGGTATAAATACTCGTATCTCGTGTCACGGTGTTTGTGATTGCACGCGTCCGAAACGGACGATTATAATGATTTTTTTTGTATGATGAACTCCCGACCGATTTTGATCTTGGCGACTGCTTCAGCTTTGGAGCGACATCTGTCGCTCATGTGCTCTCATATGGCTATTGTAGCCAATCTTCTTTGAGAAGGTCCGCATACACTGTGGACATGTGAGCACACCATTATGAATATTGTATCTGATCGCCACAGATGGTCGGGCTTTCAGATAATCGCGTCTGGTATCAAGCTCGAACCGACGTCGCTCCTCAAAATTAAGAGTTTTCTTCTTCACTTGAGCTCTCGTGTTCGAACGTAAAGCTGCGTGCTTCTCCCATTCTGAATGTTCAATGCCACACTTTTTCATGTGACGCTTAAGTACATCTTTATATCGAAGCATCTGACCACCCTGCTTTCGCTTACCCTCTTGCAGCTCGGAATAAAGGATACGCTTAGCCAGTCGCTCCTCTGCCATACGTGACACGTGACCGCACCATTGAAGCTGCCGACGCATAAGATAGGCTTCAATGCCATGAACATTGGCTCGTCGCAGTACTTCAGTGTTTCGTACACGATCAGACCATCGAATGTTAAGTATTTTCCGTAGGCACTTAAGGTGGAACTGATCTAGTGTACGGATATGCCGACGGTATACAGTCCACGTCTCAGCAGCGTACAAGATGTTAGGTAGTACTATTGCCATGTACACAGAGACATTTGTAGCTAGTTTTAGGTCGTGCGAGCGGAAGACCTTGGGATCTAGCTTGCCGAATGCTGCTGCAGCAGCACAGATTCTTCTACTGATTTCAGCGTCAAGGTCACACTTAGTTGTTATAGTGCTCCCCAGGTAGCAGAATTTATCAGTCTGCATTAGCAAATCCTCTCCGAGATTAATGGTCAGCGTCTCACGACCGTGACTGTCCATGGACATTACTTCCGTCTTCTTGACACTGATCTTTAGCCCGAATTTAAGGCAAGTATGATAGAAATCATAAATTAGTTGCTGTAGACCGTCTGGGGTTTCCGCCACGAAACACAAATCATCTGCATACATGATTTCAGATACAAGTGCATGAGATACTTTAGTGCGAGCTTTTAATCTGGCTAGATTAAAAAGATTGCCGTCTGTGCGAAAGCGGATGCGAACTCCTTCAGATGATAACTGCACGCTCTCACGCACAACAACAGCAAAATATAACGCGAACAGTGTAGGTGCCAGAACACATCCTTGCTTCACTCCACATGTAACGGGAAAGAATTGTGACTGATCACCATTGATTGCGACGCAGCACTCCATGCCGTCGTGCAGAAGTCTTAACAGCCTAATAAACTTTTTTGTACATCCCAGTTTTTCTAGTACAATCCAAAGAGCTTCACGAGGCACGCTGTCGAAAGCCTTCTCAAGATCAATAAAGCAAAGGTATAGCTGTCGCCCCTGTTCTCTACTTTTCTCCTGCAGTTGACGCAATGAGAAGATTGCCTCACAGGTACCTCGGCCAGGTCGGAAGCCAAATTGGGTCTCTGGCAAAATCTTTTCAGAAAGTGGTATTAAGCGATTTAGTAGAATTCTGGCAAAAATTTTTCCAGGGACTGATAGAAGTGAAATACCGCGGTAGGAGTTGCAGTCGGAGCGGTCACCCTTATTTTTGTATAGGGTACTGATGCGAGAGACTTTAAAATCTATTGGCACACGCTCTAATTCCCACATAAGTGTGAAAATTTCCCAAATAGCTGAATGCAACTCCTCGCCACCATATTTGATGAGTTCACCCGGTATAGAATCAATGCCAGTAGCGCGCTTATTTTGTTGCTGTTTAATGGCAAGGACAATCTCATGACGCGTCAGTGGCTCGTCCAGCTCCTTTGCTATTGACAATTGAGGCAAGGACTTGATGTGATGTAGGTCAGCAGATCGATCCACATTCAGCAATGTGTTAGAGTGTTCTGCCCAACGCTTTAATATTGCTTCTTTGGATTTCAAAAGATCTTTTCCGTCCATAGACTTCAAAGGTACCTTAGATGGAGATTTCGTGCCAATTAGTTTTCGCACCTCTCTGTAAAATTCACCGAGCTGGTTACTATTAGCAAGCCACTGCATCTGTACGGCTTTTTCTTGCCACCATCGATTTTTTAATTCCCTAGCCAGCTTCCGTAACTTGTAGTCACTCTGTCTAATCTCTGCAATACTTACACCTCGCTTTTTTCCGCTATTTTGTCTAAGAAGGGTATGATGGTTATTTAAGGCATCCATGAGAATTTCGTCATTTTCATCAAACCAATCCTCTTCATTTTGTAATTTAAAGCCTAAAATATTTTTGGCTGTTTCTAGAATATGAGAAGCTAAAACTCTCCACTTAGCATCAACATCTACTGTCTCCTTTTCTAGATATGGAAGCGTACTAGCCAAGGTTTCAGTAAATAATTGTCTTGTCTCTAGATTCTGAAGCCTTTTTATGTGAATGCATGGCGGCTTTTTTATACCTGACCTCCGAGGACGACGTAAACAGAGATTCAATTTGGTAAGGGCTAGTCGGTGGTCAGTCCAACAATGTGCTCCGCGCATTACGCGGGTTATCTGAACTTGTGAAATATCTCTTTGGCGGACGATTGCGTAGTCAATTAAATGCCAGTGTTTTGATCGCGGGTGCATCCATGTGGTCTTGTATTTGGCTCGTAGTCGAAACATGGTGTTTGTAATAGCAAGATTGAATTGAGCACATAGACTAAGCAATAACCGGCCGTTGCTGTTTATGTTGCCAATTCCGTGCCTTCTAAGACTTTAGGCCAACATTCATAGTCCCGGCCGACCCTGGCATTAAAATCTCCCAGTAATAAAATTTGCTCGCCGGGAGGTACACTTTCGAGATAATGTGTCAATTCCTCATAAAACTTATCCTTAACGTCATCATGTTTATCCAGCGTCGGAGCGTAGACACTAATGACGTTAAGGTAATTGCCTTTGTTCAAGTGTAAGCGCAGTGTGGTTACGCGATCAGAAATATGCACAGGATGTTCCAGAAGACGCCTCATAAGCTGGATTTTGATAGCAAAGCCAACACCTGACCGCCGTGCCTCAGAAGCAGAGGTACCTTTCCAAAGGAATGTATATCCACCTCCGCATTCCACTAGCTCACCTTCATCGGGAAGATGTGTTTCGCTAAGAGCGGCTACATCTATATTATAACGACCCAACTCTCGAGCTATTATAGCAGTTTTCCGCTCAGGACATATATTAGCTTCACTATCTAGAAGCGTCCGCACGTTCCACGCGCCAAACGTCATAGCAGTGGTTTGTCTTTTTGAGTGGTTATTTTTCAGTTCTCCTTTGTTGCGTCGACCACGTGAAAATAGATGCAGAGGCAGCCGTGGTTACTACCATCTTTCAGGTTGGGGTAAGCATTTTTTTAGGACACCTTTTCTAGCCCCCTCCCTGGCTGAGCAGGGAAAGCAGTGCCTCCCTAAATAGGGCTGCTTTGTCACCCTGAGTGTTGCCGAATCCATTCTGTTACCCCGAGGCAGAACGAAAGCGACCATGGCATATATTCATATACCCTCGGGGCCGCCTATGTGCAGGCATCAGACAAAGCCTAGTTCGCATCAACCTAGACCTTTCTACCTCAACCCATCGCCATAGGACTTTTCTATCTCCGAGTCCATTATTCAGAAGCAGTCCGGTGCGCAGGAAATATTAAGATGCACAAGTATTCGCGCAAATACTGATGCACACACTCGTCCTTACTCCCCTATATCCAGTGGAACGGAAAATCGCTACGACCAGAGGAGAGTTCGGATGATGTGTCTAGCCGACGGTAACTAAATACGCTCTCTACCGCCGCCCTTGGCCTTCCACCATTGCCTCGCTGCTGCGCCAAGTCCGCCAAACCCGCCACATATCTGCTATGGGATGTCTTCCTTGCCGCAGTAGGCTTTTTGTACGGTGCGGGAGAGAACCGCTACACTACATTCGATTGTACTTGTCGAATGCAAGGCAGTTTAACGTCATACCCAGGACGATTTTTTTTGTATATTTGGTAGGTATTAGAATAGGTCGTAAAGTATTTTTCACCCTCCGACCCCCACCCCCCATTTTTTAAGTAACTAGGGGTGAACCCGAGTGGAGCGAGGTAAGTGTCGCTAGCTTAAACAAATATTATAAAGAGGTAGAGTTTGTGAGTTTGTGAATTGTGAGTTTGTGACATTGTAGGGGGTAATCTCTGGATCTACTGAACCGATTTAGATGAAATTTGGTAAGAAGATAGTGTGAGACCCTGGAAATAAATCCCTTAAAGGGGTGAAAATGGGGATGAACGTTTATATGGGGAATTAACGTAGGGAGAACCCGAACAAAGCGAGGATGACTCGCTAGTTATTATATAATATGATTAACTTTTAAATTATTATTTAATATTATATATCGATATATAATATTATGTAATATTATATATTGCCTTGCATTTGAGAAACAAACTATAGTCCTCTGATAATAGCCATTTGGTATGCAGAAGGTACCGGCTAGCTTATGCTCTCCTCGTAAGTGAAAGCGGTTAGTCTCATGGGGGATTCACTCTGTTCGAGAACCGTAATCAATTCATTAAATCCATGCTATTTAATTTTATACGACGATTTTATCTACTTGGCTTATTTACTTATGTATTTAGGTCTATTATTTCATATGAAATGTGAAAATGTGTAATAAATAGTGTGAAAATTTTATTTAATTTTAGAAATATCGACGTTTATTATATTTTAAGGAAATGTTCATTAAAATTTAGTTAAAATTATAGAAAATACTACGTGAATTTATATGTATATATATATACATATAATATCTTGAAAGTAAAATAATAACTCCAACCGTTTTATGTTTACCTGGTCAGTGAGGGCAGGATCTGCACCGTGTGCTATTAGCAGCTCTACAATGTCATTGGCGTCGGCGGCACATGCCGCGTGTAGCGCTGATGACCCAACCTTCACATAAATTGATATATGTATAAGCATTGATATATAAAAACATTGTATATTAGATAATCTATTTAGTTTATTCATAAAGTACTATTATATTTGTCATAACACTTTTTTTTTCATATGAGGTTAAAAAATGAAATTTCTTGAAAGGTACTAAGAATATTTCAGTGAACATAAATTATTTGGATGTATCGTCGCTAAGTCAGAAATAATAATATTTCTGACATAATTTTTTTATATATATTAAAGCGATGAAGATTTAGTGTTTGCGTGGAAATTAATTACAGCAATTATGTATATAGTACCTAGATAGAAACAATCACACAAATTAAATGAAACAATTACGTATGTATATAAACAATAAATGAAATGGAGGTACTAATAAAATTATCTAATATACTATAATAATAAGTAACTAAAATGATTTTTGAAGTTTTACGTAAAATAAATATGTATTGATTCTTATAATACTCGTGTACATGTAATAAATAAATAGATATAAAAGATAAATATATATATAATAGATAAAAATATGAAGTAAATAAATCACTCAATAACATGAAGAATTTTTCTTACATTATTTTGCAAATGGACGTCAGCGCCAAATGTGAGTAAGTGTTCTACGATGCCGCGACACCCTTGAGCGCAGGCCATTTGTAGCGCAGTTACTCCATTCTGTAACAATATGAAAATTCCTTATTAATAAATACTAATTGCTAACAAACATTCGTTTTTTATTTTGAAATATAACTAATTTCTATTCAAACATTAAGTTTATCACTATTTGCTTTTCCCTCATATTAAGAAAATGTTTTTAATTAAATCTCTAGCGACATAAGTTTTTTCGCGCCAAAAAATAACATTACAATTTGACAACCTTTTTTATAAATGTTAATTTGTTTACACTAAATTAATATTTTACCTATAAAAATAGTTTTTATAAACTTTTTATAAACTATTACTATGAATATTACATGTCATTTTAATAAAGTAATATTAATAAAATATTATATATTTTTTATATAAAAATTTTATAGGCTTTTTAAAAGACTACGGTTAAAGTTTTATTATATCAGAGTTCTTCCTTCAAAGTTACACAGAAAGTATGCGAATGTCGTTCACGTATTTCCATGAACTAGGAGAGCATAGACCTTTATGACACTACAGAGTATGCAGTTCAAATAGTTCGAATATTTCGAATTGCCAATGTTCCCCGATACGTAGAATGTAATGTCTCCTGTAGTACCTTGCTTAGTTTTTCTCTAACTAGTACGTCTATTATATGAATGGTTTTCTTATACACTTTTTGTCTCTATTAAATACTTAATATTTATGTAGAAACTTTTTTATTAAATTATTAAATTATATTTTTCAAACATGTAATTTGTACAAAATATTAAAAATTTACACAACTTTATGTATAATAAAAAAACACAATTGATAAATATGAAAATTTAAGTTGCCAGTGGTATAATAAATATTTACAGGAAAAACTTTTATAACAATAAGCCATTTCCTTCTCTCATATTTCAATTTTCTCATACTTTCAATAATCCTCTTATCCAATCTAAGCCTATTCCAATAATAACAAAACCTTTTTTGTTTAAGTAAATTAAAAAAATATTATTCATGATCTACATATATATAGGTTTATATGCATTCATCATAATCTGTATTAACTAGGAGCGCAACCAAACCAAAACAACACAAATCATCCACTCAGCCATTACACCAGGCTAACATAAACTTACATTATCTGTGGCATTCACGTTGCATCCAGTTTCTAACAATATAAGCACGAGCTCAGTGTGTCTGTGTACCGCGGCCTGGTGTAGAGGGGTGCGGCCGGAGTTGTCTCGCGCCTCCCGCGACGCGCCTTTAGCTACTAGGAGAGCAGCGGTACTGCAGTGGCCGCCTTCGCAAGCTAAATGGAGTGCGGTTCGGCCTACCTGTTGAAAAATATATTTTAATAAACAACATATTATAATGGATTAATTATTATAAAAATATTAGGTATAATTATTTTATTCTCATGTGGTATTTGGATGAGAAAACTTGTTTTTAAATATATTTTGTATATGTAATTGATAATAATACATTATAATAAAGCGTTAGAAGATGAATCGATAATAGAAATGAAAATAATACTTGATTCATTTAAGAATTAATAAAAAAAAAATTAAATTATTCTACTGAAATATCTATATTTCTGTTTTTTTTATTATAACGAATAAATGTTTAGTTTATAAATATTTATGTTTCTTGATTGTTTCTTGTATTTTGACTGTTTGTAAGAATTTGATTTCTACGTGATCAAATATTAATGTTTTCCGTTCATGATTGAATTACATTAAATAGAAAAAACGAATATTAGATTAGTAAAAGTGATTTTTTTTATGTAAAATGTATTTAAGTTTGTAGTTTGATTCATGATCACCTACCTTATAAAAAGGTTCCCTTAAAATATCTGATCTATTAAACAAGTAAAAAAAAATACATTTATAAGGTTCTTTTATAGGTTACGAGGGTTATGAAATAACTTCTATACATTATTAAATCTTTTATACTAATATTATACTATATATTGTCCTTTTGTCAGTAATCCGACATTTAATGCACTGTCCTCTATAAGAGTACCTACATAAGCACTAGAATCATCGTCCACCGCAAATTTGAAACAAAATTAAAATGGCGGCGGTTGTAAAAGACAAAAAGCTTCCAAGTTCATATTAAGTTCATGTAATGATACTAAGCAATTAACAAAAAGCTGAAGAGATAAATTGTCACCGAAAATATTCATACTATCTGTAAATCTATAAATATAATATTAAAACATTTTAACACTAAATATTCTCGAGTTCTCAGTACTTAAACTTAATTAAAATTTAATTAAAACTTTAAAAGTGATTCAATCGATATACAATCCAAATGTAAAGTCATAATAAGCGTGTTCAAGCATAGTCGCATTGAGTAAGCTCTCGAACACTGTTCTGCTAGCGACAGGTACGAGTACAAAGTGCATTGAAAGCGTCGCCTCTCTACGTTTATTGGAAAAAACTTATGGTCACTGTACATTGTAGAGTAGTCTACCAAATTAATAATTAATATGCAATTAATATTCGCTATAAGCTCATATTATATGTATATATAAAACGTATTATATTTTCTCATTTGTAAAATAGAGAAAGAGAAAATTATTTTCATAATTCAAGGACGTTATTTTAATAAAAAAATTATGGACATTAAACATCTTTTACGTATAATAAAAGTGTAGCTGATCGCTGTCTGTACATGGAAGGTATTTAAGAAAAACTATTATTAAGGAACTTTATTAACGCCATAGAACCCAAAACAATTATATTTAGAATTTTTGTCTGTGCGTTTGTGCACGCTAATCTCAGAAACGGCTTAACCAATTTGAATGCCATTTTCGATTGATTAATGGATTAGATAAGAAGGATTAATGAATTGTGGGAAGTTTCACTTAATATTTTGGTTTATTTCAATCGGTTCATAAATAAAAAAGTTATGTCAATTTCAACAATCACCTATATCACCTATATTATTATCTTAGTTAGTGTGGACGTCTAAGTAAAGTAACAGTAAGAAGCCAATTGCAGGTATATGAAATAAAAAATAACAATGAAACTCTAAGATAAATATCTGTAATGTACGCCAGGTCTTATCTTTCGTTTGTTTTATTCAACTACACCATGACTTATGTTTGCCTGGTACAAATAGTTTTTGTTTTCTAGCCGTTTCGCACTGAAATAACGAAATAAAACTGACATCTCTTTGCCAATTTGTTAAGTGTTGTTCTGTTTGTGTAATAAAGTAAAAATTTTATTTGTAATGAATGTTGGAACTTTTTTCTCTATATTTATTTATTTTTAGGCTTTTAAAAAAACCTATAATTAAATGTAATCAAATAAAATATTTTATTTACATAGTTTTACTTATTTATGATCATATATTTATTTTACTAGCGACTTATTCTCGCTTCACCTGAGCAAAGCGATGGTATTGACGGGTGCCATTTGCATTTATGTATTTTACAAAGAATCTCAATATCAATTATTTTCATATTTCTTACTTCTATAACTATTTTTCTTTCCCAGAGGAAGTACCACTTTAAATTTGAATGAGAATAGTCTTCATTTTAAACTAGAAAGATTTATATTTTCTAACTTTGGTCTTAAAAATAACGTATTTTCATACTAGTTTCCAGCCACTTAGAAATTTATTTATTGGGATTTCTCAGAAATGAGATATTTTTCCCCAGTTAAAAGTATCCTATATGTAGATCCGAATAACCATCTATCATCATAACTTTCCCCAGACGGACATACAGACAGACAAAAATTCCAAAAACTATAGATTCGGTCTCTCTATAGATAATCATTACTATTTCAATAAGATTTTCCATAAAAATATTTAATGAACAGTTTCGACACAGTTAGAATTTTATTATATGTAAAGTTGAATTTTTCTTGTGTTTATTATTTTTAACATAATATTGTTTTTTTATACCACATAGGCACCATTCATTTTACTTTTTAATAATTTTTCTCTTACATACATTTTAACGGATTATTATTTGAAATCTATCTATGCGTGTGAGGAAAGTCTTTTGTGGTAACGACTTCACTAAGATTTTTAGTATAAGTTTTCTTAGTGTTAGTAACCGAATGAGCTATATTAACACTACATGTTGAGTTAGCCTGTAAATCTGGTATATGTATAATTAATATAATAATCTATACATTGTATAAAGCAAAGCTGTTTTCGTCTGTCTGTTTCCCCGCAAACTTGTTCTAAACCACACAACGGATTTAGTTACAGTTTTCAGTCGCTTAGAAAATTTCTTCTGCAAAGATTATATGTATAATACATACATATTATAGTAAAGAAAAGCCAAGAATTTCAGAGTTGTAATAATATAAAGAACGTAATTTTGGGCGATTACATTGCTAACGCTCGTTAAACCTTAAGAGATAGATCAACATAATGTACTACAAATTTGTAGGTCTTAAAAAGACCCACAGAAAAGTCTGCAATATTATGTGTCTATCTCCTAAGGTACGCTCACAATAATTATTTTTAACCCCCGACGCAAAAAGAGGGGCGTTATAAGTTTGACGTCGATGTCTGTCTGTGTGTGTGTCTGTATGATTGTAGCTCTTAAATGGATGGACCAATTTCGATGCGGTTTTTTTCATTTGAAAGCCAGTTTCCTTCCGGTGGTTCTTAGCTATGTTTGGTTAATATCGGTCCAGCAGTGTAAGAGTATCAGCTCTTTTCCAAAATGACATAAGGCATTTTGGCGTATGATTACTCGATTAAATGCTTCACACGTGCCGGTCTAATCGTTAAATGACAATTAATTTGCGTGGGGGTTTTATAAATTTTTAATTTTTATCTATATAAAACGTATCGAGGGACGCCCCTGAGCGAAGCAAGGTGGTTTATACTAAATTATTAAATATATGTAAAGACTTTGTGTAGTATGTTAGTTATAATATATTAAGTAAATAAAATGGATGATTACGAAACGACGGAAGATTAAGAGTATGAGGAGAGAAATGAAAACCTATAGTGGAATATAAAGATAAACATGAATGTGCTAAATATCTACTAATTTTATGAAAGGAGACATAACTACTATTATTTTGGAGTATATGTATTATATGGAAACATTTTTAAATATTTAAAACTTTAAAAGAGATGGCCACTGGAAATAAAAGTTTATTTTATGGAAAAAATATATTAAGGCACAACTTAATTTTTGGACGTTTTCAATATCCTACAAAAATTAATCTATTTATCAACCGGATAATCCGCTTTTTAAAAAAGAAGATGAAGTGATTAAACCCAGCTCAGTCATGTAAAGCTAGGCACTATCCCTTTTCAGATTAACAATTGGACCCAGTTATGCAAAAAACAGCCATGTGCGTAAACGTACCAACAGAGTTATAAGCATTTTTCTGTCGATAGTTGCACTTGGGTTATGTTTTGTTTTTCTGGTTATTTTAAAATTGAACGATATTTATATAAGTATTGTTTATTTTTTATAATGATTTTATTTTTTATAATAAAATGCTTATAACTCTGTTGGTACTTTTACGCACATAGCTGTTTTTTGCATAACTGGGTCCAATTATCTGTAGATTCCCTAGATTATCAGCAGACTAACGACTATAATTTGTTTAAGTAGACCGAATAGGTTCTTTGCTTGAATAAAACATTAAGACTTTATTTATTTGCTTTGGGTTAGGTTAGAAGCAAGACCTTTTTAGACATTCGTATTTCTTTATTTGTATCTATTTACATTTATTTTCTAATACCTATTTATTTTATAAAATTAATGGCGAATGAATTTTGTTATCTATACATATAATAAAATTGTAACTAAGCCGAATCTGTACATTAAGTATTTTTTGGAAAACCTTATTGAAATAAACATTATTATCGACACAGAGGCCGAATTTATAGTTTTCACAATTATTGTCTGTCCGTCTGTCTGTCCGTCCGTCTGTCTGTTGCCGTATCACGAGAAAACCACTGGACAGATTTTGATGAAATTTAGTATAATGACAGCTGGTTATCCGGGTCAACATACAGGATACTTTTTACCGTGGGGAAATATCTCATTTCTGAGGAAAAATACAAAAACTGCAATGTAAGGGTATACTAATATGTAAAACTTAAGAATTTGGTTTTGGGTCATCTGAACGCGGGCGGAGCCGCGGGCAATGTTAGTAAATACTACGTGTAAATAAACGCACTTACTGGGTGTAAACTGTTAGAATATTAAACATAATATAAATGCAACTATTACGTAGATACATAGATGAGTTGCCTAAATAAATGTTGTCCATTTACTAAAAGTAATATACTAACTTTTTTATATTACAATTACATTTGTTGCTACTCTACATCTCTTTTTTTT